AGCGCGCTCTCCCTCCCCATCCCCCTCCCCTTCCCCTTCCCCTTCCCCTTCCCCTTCCCTTCCCGCTGCTCTCGCTCTTCCCAATGCAACAAATAGGCACCACCTGCTGGCTACCAACCTGACACGGGAGCAATGCTGCTGCCAGTGGAGGGAAAGGGACAGCCTGTGCAAGTGGAGTGTTTTATGTGACAAACGAATGGGGGGTGTGATAAATAAATAAAAGAAGACTAGCAGGCTTGAGCAACGATGCTGGTCACTGGAGCCTTAGCATCTGGTGGAGCGACCGAGATGAGGGGAAAAGGTCGGTGGGATCAGTAACGACTTTGCAACATGAAAGATCTTGTGACATGTAAATGATCGTTCTTGGACCACTTTGGAATTTTGAAACATTTTCTTTTTTTTAACAGTGAGAATCTGAGGCTCTCGGGAGAAATATGTATTGGAATCTACTGAAATCCATCACGCTACCGGTTTCTGTGGGGCATGGGAACCAACAATAGCTACTGAACATCACTTAACGTGAATATCAAAGCCAGGTTTTGCCTAGGGTTAAAAATCAACCTTCTGAATGCCACCATCCCTGGTGGCTGTGCCTCATTCTGTGCAGACACTTCCCATCACCCCCGTGTCTCAGAGGTGTAGTGAAGATGACTGGGGAACAGAGCTGTCTTCTGAGGAAAATTCAGATTAAAAAAAAAAGTAGTTGTGTTTTCTCTAACAGTTTCTACATATAATATGTGTTCTCAGTGAAAAAAATACATAACAAATGAAAGCAAAGCACCCAGAAAGTCAATTCTTGGGATAAAGGGGGGTTGTTTTGCTTACTTTTTTGGTTTTCAGGTTTTTCAATTTCCAATGAAGAGTTTAATAAAACAAATGAGAAACGTTCACTCTTTCAGTGACAATTATTGATTGCCCGTCAGATGAAAAAAGGTTTGGCACAATAGTTTCTCCTGAGCATGGGAGACCTGAGCTATTCTTAGACATGGGTACAGCCCTGGACTTTCCTGAACCTAATGTCTCATAAAACAAGCGTGTTTGCTTTGGGTAGGTTACCTTCCTGAAAGAGCCAGCAGCTCATGCAGATCAGCACACCGCTCTGCATGTCTGCATGTAAAAATGCCTCATACTGAAGGTTTAAATGATATTCATTAAAAACTGAGTTCTGCTATCAGAAGGATAATCAGCTAATGAGAAGATACTCCGTGTTTTCTCTCAGTGAGTGCCAGACTTACCCGCATGTAGAATTCCCTGCCCTCGTTCCCTGATTTGATTTGGAAGATATAATAGGCTCCGGGGTAGCGAGTTGTTGCTTGCATCTGAAAAATGTCAGAAGGCACAGACCGCCCGGACACCATATCCATCACTCTGTACAAGATGGTGAATGGCTGATCTCTGCAACCGGCGTTTTCAGCTGGACACATGCAGCGGCTAATTGTCAAAGATAGGATTGTCATCAGGGGTTACAAATTGCTGTAATATTTGATTCTTTATATGCAAAAACAGCTGCATAAATAAATAAATAAACAAATAATGTTGTCGACCAGCTAAAAGAATCAATGAAACTTGTAATGAATTTTCTCCCTTTTAGTATTCTCTGTGTTGCTATTCTGACCTACCTATATCCCTGCCTTCTTTTTCCTGTCTTCTAGGCCAAAATATCTTGGCATCCTGGTCTCCTTAGATCACTCGAAAATCTGTACTTTATTTAAAGCAGCTCTGCAGGTGTAGAATACCTGGTACGTGTTTGTTCTGATAGTAATTTAAACTGAGCTGTCCCCAAAATAATGTTAATTGTTGGATCATTTCACTGATGGTGCTACATAAATGTTGTATTCTTTGTTTAACAATCTTTTACATACCATACGAAAACATACAGCGAGACATCCTGGATCAAACCAAAGCTCTAGCATCAAATGCAGAGCCCTAAGGAAGAGCAGGATAGCAAGCCAAGCGTATGACACTTCTACCAACAGACTCCCAATTGTTTGTGACTCAGGAAATTCTTGAAACAAAGTTGTCTTCTGTGTATTCATCAGCCCTTAATGAATTTCTTATCCATCAGCTTGTCCAGCTTCCCCTTACACCGACATGAATGTTTGGCATCCACAGCCCCCTGCGGCCAGGAGCTCCACAGCCCCCTTCACCTCCCTCTGCACTGCCCCTTACTGACTTCGTCTGATGCTACCAGCTCTTCTATTGAAAGGAGAGCAGCCAGTCAACCCCTGATCATCCTCCTCACGCAACTCAGGGTTTCATATTTGACCCTGTTCATGGCTGAAGAGTCCTGACTTAGTTGTTTCTCACAAGGAAGCTATTCCATCCTTTTGATCATCCTCATTGCTCTTTATGAACCTTTGTCCAGTTATATTTCTTTTGAGAGGAGGGGAAGGAACTGCACAGTCTTGAAGATATGGGTACGCAATGGCACGTGCTCTAAGGATATTCTCTACCTATTAACACCTCAAATTCAGATTGTTTTTCTGACCTCTAGTAAGTACTGCAGATCATGGAACTATCTATAATAACCCTCAAATCTCAGTTTGGATGGATTGTGATCAGATCAGTGCTCTTTATTTAATTTGTGCATTTGGGATTGTCTTTTTACTTTACATTCATATACACTGAATTTCATCTGCCATTTTTATTGCACAGTCATTGAGGCTCCTTCTACAACTGTTTTCTGCCCACGCTTTTCTCTACTGTCCTCAGATACTGTTGCACACTTTGCCCATCTCATGGTTTACCCTTTTTCCAAGATTGCTTACAAATATGTTGGACAAAGCAGGTCCAGCTCAGACCTCTGCAGAACTTCACTGTGAAAGTTGACAATTTAATACTATACTCTATTTATTTTTTGTCTTTCAACCTCTTATTCTTCTTTGCCAGGGACTTCTCTCTTACTTATGGCTGCTTAATTTCCATAATAACCTTATGTGAGGTTCCTTTCAGAAGCCTTTGGAAACCCAAACATCAGCCCATGTGCCCTAGCCACATGCTGCTGCTTTCTTCAGAGAACTCCAGTAAATTGTGAGGCAGGATGTCCCTTTATAAAAGCCATGTTGGGGAATTTACTGGAAAAGAGTTGGGTCTTTTTGCCTGTTTTTTCCTATAACCTCCACTACCGACACCAATTTCAGACAGTTCATCTGGCATGTCCCCCATAAAAAGGTTCCTGGCATTACAAACACCCAATTCCTTCCACAGAAAACACAGATGCAAGGAATTCACTTGGCTTTCATACTGACCACTTCTAGACATATGCCACAAATTAAATGCAGTCACATCTAGACACGAGCCAAAGCCACCAAACACAAAGCTCAGAGATCAAGAGTTCTGGTGCAAGCTGATCTGTGAGGACTCTGTAGTTGGGCTCTGGGGAATTTAGATACAGAGGCTTCAGATATTTCAAATTCCAGTTAAAGACTCTACCACCTCTGAAGGTAGGTAAACCCAGAACTGGAAGAACAGAATGTGTCCGCTCCTCAGCTGCCCTTGTTCAGAAAGCAATGTAAAGACGTGAATAAATTATGATGGAAAGAAGCTGATTCCTCATCTCTTGCCTTTCTATAAAATACATGAGGCTACCAAGCAATCCCAAGTAATTGGGTTTAATGCAAACACTATGGATGAAATACTATGGGCTGCAATATATAGAGATCTGTCTGGAGCTGAAATATTTTGAGCCCCAGGCAAATACCTACAAAAATGTAAAAGAAACAGGCAATTTTTAGAGATGTGGGATTTATGTTTTTGCTTGCTCAAATAATTCCAAATTTAGACAGCAACAGTGCTAACAGCCCCATCCAGACATACCCAATTTCTGGACAAGGCAAATCAGTCTGTGGACTTTTCAGCACTTTTAACCTTTAAGCAGAAAGAAACTACTTGTATCCTGCTATAACTATCATCTAATGTTTTAAAGTACTTCCCAGACATAAGCTAGTTAATATTTACAGGAAATACTCATACTAATAAACAGGCTGCATTTGAGCATATATGAAGTCAGTTAGTAACGTAAGTAAACATCTCTTGTTACACTACAAACCTTGCTGTTTTCTCTACTCACTGATAGGTGTTTTTCCAGTCTAACCTCCCACATATCTGGGTATCATATCATATCATATCCCACCTGGTGACCTGGTAAGGAATTGCAATTTATTATTTTTATAAAGCTTACCAATGGTAAATGCAGCAACAGCATCTATGCATAGCTCTCTAGACACACTTCATGGCTCTGTTGTAAAAATGCAGCTCATTTGGTTCACTCTAGATAGGCTTCACAGAGATAGAATTTGCTTTTGTGGCTGTGCGTATGTTACTCACTTCTCATTAATCTGGATATAAGGATCCTCGCATCTTACTGGGTCTAAACATTTATATTCTCCTGGGATATTGAAACACGTTTGCTGCGGAGTGCAGGTGAAGTTTCTGTTTTCACATTCATTGATATCTAAAACGCAAGAAACAAGAGAAAGGCTAAAGCAGGGAAATATGTGCAAGACACCACTCTTACAAACCGGTTTCCATCTTCAGGAGTTGCCCCAAAATTCATAACACTCTTGCACCATGAGAAGTGGCCTTTTGATAACTGGCCCCTCTTTTAAGATCAGTTTTTACTTCATTCATTTCTGCTTATTGGAAATATGCTAAGTGCTGCAAAAATGGAAAAGAAATTGGCTGCTCAAGCTCTCTGACCTTAGAGAATGGGAAAACTAAAGAGAGACATGCAGCAGAGGAGAATATCTGAGGGCTTTCTTGTGTAGCTGTTTCCTAGTCAGTAAAGTCTCACTTACACCAACACACCAGTTCACCTCAGTGGGACTATTCACGTGATGACATTCTTCCCAGAATTACATAATTGGCCCCTGCGAGTATTTCACTGTGCAATGCCAAGACCAAGCATCTCAGTTCTTGAAAACCTCTTTCCAGACACAGGACCTATTTTCTGGTCCCCTTGGGTTTTAATCAGCTCAGGAATGTTCTTACCTTGGCAGCTTCTGCTATCGTCAAGCAAGTTATAGCCCGAAGGACAGATACAGTAGTAAGAACCAGGCCCGTTCACACATTCGTGCTGGCAGAGGAACTCTGAGAAGCTGCATTCGTCCATGTCTGCAGTGGTAAAACAAAGTTCAGTGTCTTTGGCTTTACAGTCAAAAGAGCAGTCGCACAGGCAGGTGGCCATCCAGTCTGTGTGCCCATCACCCCAGCTGGAGGTTGGCACCCTCCAACTCCCTAGAGCTCTGCAGCAACCTGGCAAAATGCTATACAAGTTCTTGGTTAAACATTTTTCTCCTAGGGAAACCAAAGCTGCTGCTGAACACAATGCGTGGCTTTTATTTATTTATTTTTCTTTTTGGATACCTGTCACCAGTTGGCCATGTTTTTAGTTCTGTTTTACGTCAGAGATAGGGCTACTCCAACAACAAAGCTGCAACTGTAATTTGAAAGGAGAGACTTGGCAGTGGTTTTCTTTTCTTTTTTTTTTCTTTTTTCTGGAGAGCAAACTTCCCTTTCCCAGGGCCACATGGGTCCCAGCAGAAGTCCTGCAGCCAGCCCCGGCTGTTTTATGTTTCTTAGCCTCTAGCCAGTTACTTCCAAGGCATTCCAGGAAGACTACAGAGCTCATCCCAGCTTGGGTCAGACCTACTGGAAGGCCCAGCCATCTCCCAGATACCCAAGAAGCTAAGCAGTCCTGGAGAGCAAACTTCCCTTTCCCAGGGCCACATGGGTCCCAGCAGAAGTCCTGCAGCCAGCCCCGGCTGTTTTATGTTTCTTAGCCTCTAGCCAGTTACTTCCAAGGCATTCCAGGAAGACTACAGAGCTCATCCCAGCTTGGGTCAGACCTACTGGAAGGCCCAGCCATCTCCCAGATACCCAAGAAGCTAAGCAGTCTGTCAAATCTCTGACTGAAGGCAGAAATTGTGCTCTTTTCCCCTTGCACTCATGAATTGACCAGTCATTGTGTTCTGCAGAACTGTGCTCAGGCGAGAAAGACAAACTTCAGAGCTGCTCATGGAGGCATGGCTGACTGAGGGGAAAACACATGCAAAGATGCTAGACTGAAGGAAGCTGCAGTTAATCATTTCCTTATTTCCCTGTTCAGAGGAAGAAAGAAACAAAGGCCAGAGCCCCAGCCAGGAACTCCCAAGTTCTTATTCCCAGCTCTGACATGTTGACTCTCCCAGGCAAATCACTTTTACTCTTCGGACTGAATTTCCCTTTCTTCTAAATTGGGCTCAGTCCATTTATCCACTTCTGGTGTTTTGTGCAGATGGATTGGGAAGTATTTGAAGTCCAAATATGTTAAAGTGGCTTTATGGCTGCAACCACATTATCAAAAGGGAGATGAAAGGAACTCTACACGTACATAGTCCTGTTATTGTGTGACTTGACCCAGAGAGTCCGCTGAAAAAACACCTTCCTGACAAAACATGGACCGAGGGCTGGCTCCATAAAGGGACCGAGATATCACCCACCCCCTCGAGGTGTCCTAGCCCAGACCTCCAGCACATCGGATTCATATGATCTGTGCTCAGCTGCTGTTAAGTGCTGGAGGGACTTAAAGCCCCGAGGGTCCTACATTTCTGCTGCTGAGCCCACACAGGACAGACACACCTTTGCTGTTCCTAAACACTTCTGGCATTCTGCTGACTATCTGCAGAGGACAAGATGGTAGGCATTTCAGAGCACATCTAATGCACATGCAAGACCTCTGTGAATAGAAAATAATGCCGAAGTTGGGAAAGCCAGGTTGAAATCTCTGCCTCTCTCCTTGAATTGGGCAGGGATGCCTCCCATCTTCAAGGTAAGCTGGCTGCTAGGCCATGGGCTAATCCAGTGGCTGTTGAAGTACATCTGGATCCTGGATGTCTCATAGGAGCGTCCTCCTAACCAGGCATTCCCTTTGTGAGCCTCAGAGATGTCTAGTGATTGCTTGTGAAGTGAAAGAAGCTCATCCAGAGAAATTTGACCTGCTTTGACAAGCATTTTCTTGCACAGAATTGTCAAGAAAAGGTTTTCTGCCCTAAATCTGGGTAGTGGAAAGTCCCTTTTGCTGGCTTAACTCTCAGACATGAATGAGGCTCAAGCATCACCTTTTCTGTCACCATTTTGTACTGGCAATGTTTATGTGGCATTGCGTTGAACTTAACTGGTTCAGGCCCCCAACTAGCTCAGGAGCACATAAAAAGGTGCAGAAGTCTAACTTAGAAGCAGAAACTCCATTAAAAAGCAGAAAACTTGAGTTAGGTCTTGCAGCTCTAAATGTTAAATGACCCTTTAGAGATTTAAGTCTTTGTTCTTTCCCTTATAATAAGGAGGTTTACATGGAAGAACAGCTTTGGAAACACTAATCTATACACATACTGCATATCACATGTCTTCTCTCTCACAAACAGCATGTTACATCTGTTTACTGTAAATTAAAAAACAAGTATTTTCCAATGCATTTTTCCTTCCAAGAAATATTGGCGGGATTCTCTAATTTTATCAGGCTGTGGGAACATTAAGCACAGAAATAAGTTTTGCCTTCAATTAAAATAAAGCAATAAAATAAAAACAAAAACAAGAGAGGAAAAAGTACAGTGACATAAGCACAGTTTCTTCTGCTATGTGCTGAACTGATTAGCAATAGCTGTACTAAGAAACCATATATTGCTTCTGAAGTGTAGCCAGAGCCAGACAGGGGAAACTGGGGAAGGTGTCAGGCAGAAGTGTGCAGTCATAACAGCAAGAGGAATACAGGCATTCATCAGACAAATGGAAAAGTGCTTTATATATACTATTTCTTTAATCATGGAAGAATGTTCTAGGGCTATCCCTACTTTACTTGCTCTAATAAAGCTTCCTGTTCAGCATTACAAAGTGTTTTCTTATGTTTTGCTGTTATCTTGGAGCTTTTTGGTGTTTAGCTTATTTCCTTAAAACCACTTGCAGCCCCCCTCCATTGTGCTTTTCTGGGTATTTGCTGTGTGCTTTAACTGGAAAGAAGATCATATGAGTTGCAGCTATCCTGCTGCTAATCATGGACCAAGGCAAAAAACTTTTTAAAAAGCATGTACAAAACAATACATTGGAAAAAGAAACCTTAATAGAATTAAAGAAACCAAAACAATAAATAACTAAAGACAGTTACCACTGCAGTTAACTCCATCAGCTTCCAGTTCATAGCCAGGTTCACAGCGGCAGAGAAAAGAGCCGTAGGTATTGACGCAGGTCTGAGTGCAAGGGTTTTCGCTTGTACATTCATTCACATCTATGGGAAACCAATGCCCAATGCATCAGTGACTTTTCCCCAAACTCTATTTTCAATTCATTACTGTAAAGCATTTCAAAGAGATTAGCTGTGCAGTCAGAATGATTTGTTCTGAAAAAATATAACCAAGTCAGTATTGTTTATTGGGATTCAGGCTGATGCCTGGAAATAGCATGTTGGAAACACAACATGCGTGGAAATGAAGCATTCTGGAATGTCTTCGATCAAAAAAATAACATGGAAGATGGGGATGAAATATTTGTTACAAATGCTTCTGTCCTTATCCTGCAATTTTAAAACCATTGAACTGATTTTGTCATAACAGACCTGAGACAAAATGCAGCAGGATATTCCTGAGGAAGATAATGCAATGAGGAACGGTCCTCATGGAAACCTAGGGCTAAGACAAAACCAATTTTTTTTTTTCCTTTTAGGACATTAGCAGCTTCTGGACATCATTAGCACAGACCATTTCCTGCAGCATGTGGAAAGATGCTCCCCGCTTAGCTAGGGAGAGGCTTTATGAAGAGGTTGTGTTGACTATGATTGAGGTAGCACATCACAGTGAAAGGGGGTCCAATGCTCAGGACCCTAGTCTGGAACTTGGGAGACTCAGATCTAATTTATTGATCTGACAGAGTTTTCCTGTCTCAGGTGGGTCACACAGCCTCAGATTTTAAAAGTAAATTCAGTGCCTAAACTCTTGGTAATTTCAGTGAATTGAGTAACTCTATATTTTAGGGGGCTTGGGCCTCTGTGCATATTCCTCCTGATACACTCATGTTGCAGCTGTACCCCTCCGAGGTACTACAGAAATATCTCAGGCTGGCAAGGCTATGAACATTTTCAAAAGCAGTGTTGGGAAGGTTACTTGTATTCTAAAAACTAAACAAGTTTTAAGGGTGTTGCTGGGTTGGGACCAAAGATTTCAGTCGTGGTTTACCATACACAGTACCTTGGCATGATCTTCCATCCTCATTAAGGGTAAAGCCTGGGTTGCACGTACAGGAGTAGGAACCGGGCACATTGGCACACAGCTGCTGGCAGTAGCCGTAGCGACATTCATCTATATCTATAGACGGGAAAGACAAGAAGTAGAGTGGTCTGCATTTTCACATGCAGGTACAAAGCCGCAAACACACTGTGTCAATGGTACCAATAACACGAAGTAACCCCGCGTGCTGGTTACGGATATAACAGCCAAACTTTCAGGTGTTGAGACCCAGAGTTATAGTTAAAATACATCTCTACCCAAAAGAATGTAGTAATGTGTTTTTATCCACAGCTGACATCTATCAGTACGTCCTATGAACTGATTGTCATTGCTGTAATCTTCAGCTTAATGTGATGTCATCAGGAAGCCCACAGTCAGTCCCTTTAAGCAGCTACCTCGAAGCATACCCGATAGCTGGCACAGCCTGTCAGCACAAGCGCAGCCAACGTTGTAGCAAAGTTTTGTCAGAATCAAGATAGAAACCTTTTTTACCTCCATGTATACCAAAGCTACTCTCTAGAAAAGCAATCAGTATTTGTTACTAAATACTTCTTTTTTTAGAGAGGATATTCTTTAAAGACTTTTTTTCCGAATGGTCACATTCACATTTTGGATGAATTTTCAACTGACAAGTTATAGACTCTAAAATGTAAACAGTAAATTTAATGCCAAAATATCAGTTTGGGCTGAATTGCAGCATTAGCCATACATGCAACTGACTGTTACAAGCACAAGAAAATGCTGTAAGATACATATGATGGTAAGTGCTAGAAGAATTTTGCCCCTGGACTAAGAACTGGAGTGAAACACCTGGAGTAGTTGTCCTTTCCAAGGCTTTACATTTCCTTTGGTATCAACTGGCTTTTGATTTATGGAGACTTTTTTAATGGCTACTCTCAAAGCTTTGAAGTTAAGTTTGTGCAGTAGAAAACCAAGTGTATTATCTCCAGTCAGGTTGCCAGAAGGAGCAAAGCAGGAAGGCACAGATTTTGGTGAAATGCCCCCCACCGCAGGTTCCAATGCACGTGAAAATCAAAATGACAGTACTCTCCCTATGGTTCACACATATACATATACATCTGCATGAATTCCAGCAGTTCGTTATTTGTTAGCTAAATTGGCTGCTTCCTGTTTTAGTGTTAGATATTAAGAATGTGTTGGGAAACTGAATTCTTGAACTACTTGAACATTTACATGATGTGGTAATACCATAAAAACAACAATGTTGTGAATCTGTTGTACAAGTAGCTACATCCTGCAATTCAAGTTTATTTTTTTGGCCTCATTGAGGCAGTTTTGCCGTAGAAAGTCTCAGGAAACCATGCTGAAAATGTCAAAAGTCTTGGAAATACTCTCTCTGTGTAAAATAACAAGGACGCTGACACTCAGTTTTACCCTTACTAGCTTTTATTTCCCACTGCATTCTAAATAGCAAGATAACCTAAAGGCCAGGGTCAGCTACGGTATGTACACCAGCAGTAGGCTTGGCCCAAATCCTGCAAAAACTGACATGGGTTTTAAGTAAATTAATACCTCGTTTCACTGACACAATGCATTATTTAAATACATGCTTTGGCTTTTGCAGGACTGTTATCTCAAGAGTGCTACATTTTGAGTATAAGGACTTTTACAGGGCTTCTTGTGGGTGGGTCGTGTGGATACTGCTGTACTGGCTCCTCCTGTATAAACTTTACTGGGATAATTACAACAGATAGAAGTGTAGCTTTTTGTAACTGCGGTTTACTAACAGTGCACCAAAAAAGCCTGTCTCTGAAACCCAGCCCAGCCCTCTGATTACAGTAAATGGTCTTTTACTGCTTTATGCCAGCAAAAATCACTTCTCCAAGGCCAGTGGAAAGTATGGAAAACTCAGAATTTTTTGACACTTAGGGAAAAATATAGCAACTCTAAACACAATTTGCTTTTAGCTCTTTGCATTGCCTTGTAATAATCCACCCCATGATTACTTAAAATGGGCAACACTGGGATGTTATTGCCTATTTTAAATAGCATAAGCAGATATTCAAATCAATTCAGCAATGCAGCCATTTCAGTTCTCTGGTATATCCATCAAGCAGTAAAGTACTTTAGATCCATGTCCAAATCCTTGTGCTGCACACAACCCTTTCGTTTGGGCTGTAACTGGGAGAAGTAAATGGGTAACAAAACAGGTGATGCAGAGCAGAATCCCCCACCCTGCCCTCCCTCATCCCCACCCCATCACGTACGCCTGTACAACCCCTGGCACAAGTTTCTTTTCCCAAGAGAAGAGGAATTATCAGAGATTAAAGAGCAGGGGGCTTGGACGCTTCGTATCCCAGGGGAACTACAAGACAGTGATTCCCCAAAGCGGCTATGGCTGCACAGACCCCAGCTTGGATGAGGCTCAGCTCTGTCCCTGCCAGGTGAGTTACACAGCAGCTGTTTGCAGTAGTTAGGAAAGCAGCCGTGAGTCAGTCCTTCACTGGAATTGGTACTTGGGAGGAGAAAGTTGGAAAATAACTGGAGAGGCTCCAGGGATGAATGGGCAGGGAAAGCCCGTTCTCCTTCCAGCGGAGGTGTTGTGACAGGACGGTCCAGCTCCGCAGAGCTGGCAGGCAAACAGCCTGCGCTGAGGGGAAAAAAATAATAAAAAGCAAACTTAAAAAAAAAAAGTTGTATCCTATCTCCCAGGTCCTATCTGTATACCTAAAATTAACATCTACTTCATCATCCCGTGGGCATGTCTAGTGAGGGGAATGGGCTGGAGGAGAGGGGAGCTGGGAGGTTTTCCCGTGCTGTTTGTTGAGGGATGTTTTTTTCAACAGGGCTGAGCTAAAAGGATGAACAGGACATTGCTGCAAGGCAAATAATGAAATCGAAATAAAACTGCTTGGAAGCTACCGAAACGGCACCCAGTTCAGAGGTAATTTTTTTCTCACCCCCAAGCAAAACGGTTCGTTGAATCTAGGGATTTACTGGCCTGTTTCTTGGTGTCAAATACTGATCCCTTCAGATGCAGACTCTCACGGTGCGGAAAGGACAGGTCTGTTTGGGAATAAATCTTTTTGTATACATGCTTGTGACTGATCTTATGTGAAAGGGAATCCTTCAGACTGGAAATATGAAAATCCCACGTTACATGGAGGCTAGTCATATGGCATTTGCATCTACATTTTTGTTCCACAGGGGAGTCTCTCTGCCAAGCATACCATTGGCACTTACAAAGATGACAGACAGTTTCCACGTAGCCGAAGGTTTAACCGTGTACTTGACAAAGATGCTCAGTGCCATTATTTCAACTGTTCACAGGTACGCATACACAGATGCTCAAATACCGCATGAGGTTTTTACCTAAACACTGGCCTTCTAACAGCCAGTAGCCTTCAGTGCAGGAACAGGTATAGCCCCCCTCAGTATTTATGCAGATCTGGGTGGGGTTACACTGGTGAGAATCTGAAGCGCATTCATCCACATCTGCAACACAGAAATACAGCAAGAACATATTAGAAATAGCAACAACAAAAGATTATTCACACTGTACAGGGACTTGTGTGTACACCAGCTCCGTGCGACGAACCGAAGTATGGTGGAGTAGAGAGAATGACCATAACCTGAAGTCAAATTCATAATAATAAATGTCTGAGGGCAGTGAGAACTGAGGGTGCTCATCAAACCTCTCCCTTTTGCAGATGACCCAGTGTTTCTCAGAGCTCCTCAAGAAAGGGATCGCATTACCTCGAGCTTTTTATTACTTCCACATTTGCTTTGTCACTGAACTGGGATTTCCATGCTACAGGGTACTGTTCAGCCCTAGGGAAAGGCTGCTGAAAGGGCTATATAACCCCACTGCGGAGTAAGAGATGAACGAGATGTTCGAGAGATGTACAAACACAACTCAGACATATAAAAAAAATTACTTCCTACCCCCACCAACACAGATTATCTCACTGTAATTTTTCTGACAGAAGGTTCAACCAAAATCAACCTTCACCTGACAAAAAATTGTATACTTCCCTGGAATCAATTTCCTGACAATAAAACTCTTTTCCTTTTTTTTTTTTTTTTACTATCCTTACTGTTTTTAATGTATTTGGTTTTTTATTACAACCCCTTAGGGTGGTTTTGTTGTGGGCGTTTTTTTTGTTTTTTGGTTTGGGGTTTTTTTTTGTTGCAAAGGAGGTGAATAGCATTCCTACATTTATATAAGCCAGGACCCTGGAACCTAACTGATTAAAAATGCCTTTCAGTGTCAGAAGTTCAGTTTGAATCCCTCCTTGCTCAATCTCTTCCGTGATGTTTCTGGCATTGGTTTTGCCTCTAGATGTCAGAAATTGAAGTATCAAAAGATAAATGGTGTCATTTTTTCAGCCAACTCAGATTTCTATGTTTTATTTATTGATACCTAAACTATTTTTTATTCCAGCATACTGTGCACTGGCCTTTGCTGAAGTACTATGTCATCCAAGCAATGCTACTCCCTTGATCCCCCCCCCAATTCTTATTAACCCAGACTTTGCTGGGTCGTGACTGAAAGTATCTCACAAATGCACTGGGCTGGAGCAGGCAGCAGAGGGCAGGAATTGCATCTCAGTATCTGCCCCTGAGGCACCTAGCACAGTCAGTCAGCTGTAAAATCCCAGCAGTCATGAAATAACTGATCCAATCTACCACACCAACATACCTAACATGTTCGGATATATGAATAAATACATACATATTATATATATGGAAAGAGTCTAGAATTCTTATCTTGCCAGCATCTGTACCAGAGCAATTTATGGTGAGTCAAAGCTGGTAAGATAACAAGAGTGGCACAATTAGAGGTAATTAACTCTGTTGGAAATCAGTTCCCACGTATTTATTGGCCAGATGAAGGTTGGCAAAATGGTGGGGAAGTGGGAAAGGGGTAAGATAACAAGTCTAGACTATATAGGTACAGAGATATGTTGTTCAGTTCAGCTATTGCTTCTGCGATTGGGCTAAAAATTCTGGATTCTCCCTTCATACGGCGTATCACACATAATTGGTAGTAGTTGAACACAGATTTTATCTAACCATAAATTTAGTAAGAATGACATTAATGTTTTCTAAATGAAAAATCTTTCTATTTGTCATGTTTGCTTATTGTTTTAGGAGTGGGACCTTGGGATCTGGCCAATTCTGCTGTTTCTAGCCTACCCCAAGCTGAAAAAGGAGATTCTCATTTTCCATGCTCCCAGCTTCCAGTAATATTACTAGGTGAAGCACAGTGGAGACAAAATGAGGGTCAGGGTCTTACCACCACATATGGTAGCAATGCTGTTTGAAGACTATAGATCCTCCACTCTTCTGTGGTGCATCTTTCTTGCAGGGGTACAACATGCATCGTTCACCAAAAGCAACAGGTGGCTACAGGATCGGTTTTGTTCCCGAGTCATCTTTGTAGCAGTTGCATAAGCAGCAGTACAATCACTCCAGAAAAGTAAGACATCAATCGTCTCTTCTTTGCTATCTACCAAGCAGATTTCTTTGCTTACTCCCAGTCTTCAGCTTTTGTGGTGGTATTGGAGACATATTTCCATTTGAATGCAGAATTTTTTACAATGGAGGCTACCTGTGGAGTTTCTGCTGTCCCTAGAAAACCTGATCAACCTGAAGTTGTCTATGCAGAACACCTTGACTCCCCGCATTTTACACTGAATAATACCTCACTGACTTCATTAATGAAGTTTTATGCAACCAACAAGTATAAACAGCTTTACTGGTAGAATCAAATCTTTTTGCTTGGGCCTGAGCAAAGAACACACCCAGTTATATATTACATATCTCTGGCTTTCTCTAAGATTGCCCCTTACCATGATGCGCCATTAAACTCTGACAGACCCAGACAGTGCAATCAAATCAATTATTTTTGGCAAGCAGCCTTCTCAGTTCAAACAGGTAGTATAACCCCAGCCTGTCTGCCATGGGTTATTTACATTACATGGTTTCACTAGGTGAAAGCTGATACTTGCTCACTGAGAAAGAAGTCGGTGCAACAATTGGCTAACCATTAGGTATCCTCGTGAAGAATAACAGAGCTGGGAGACAGAGGGTGCCTTGCCCAGCCCATTTACACAGTGTGCATACAGTGAGAACTGGTGTGGTTGATAAAGTCAAAATTAGACATTTGACAGGGAAAGAAAAAAAAAACCCCAGCAATTATTTCCACTGGGGAGAAAGCCAGCCATAAAACATTGAGAGATTGCCTATAATGGATTCACTAGACTGAGGTGCCAGCATAGAAACTATATCAAAACACTCCCAGGGCATTTTTGGTTGAGTGGAAAATTGCAAGTGGAAACAGCCTGACAGCTAGTCAATAATGTGTAAATCATTTCTTATTCTGGTTGCACAGCTTATTTCTGTCCCGTTCAAACATAAATCTTAGGTGTGTTCATGCCCTGGCAATATCACTTCAAAGCTCATTTGTACCACCTCTGCCCTTCTGATGGGTCATACGCAATACTAGAGTAAAACTGTGATGCTAAATATACATGATACTAAATTGTCAATAGTTTTGTAGGTTCAAAGCAGATAAGACAAATTCAGAGAATAAAAAATTGTAAGGACTACTCAATACAAGGATAGCACATGTGGCTTAGAAGTCCCTGAGATGCAGTTTTCTGGAGCCTGGAAGAGTGCCTCTGACCCAGCATAACTTGTATTGCAGTCTTCACCATGGAAAGAAATACAGCAATAAGTTGTCTGAGCCCCAAAGTAAAGTCTAATCAGCTGGAGAGCGGAAGAGTTACTAAAGTGAAGCAAGCTAGCAAGAAACCCTAGAAACACCGTTGCCCCCTATTCACGGTGTTAATAGATTGTGATATTTGATGATTTTGGCATCAGTACCATGAAAGCATCAGATGGTGTCACCCATCACTGATATCCAAGGATGGTTTTCATTATAGTGAACCTGCTTTTAGTACCTTTCATCGCCAAAACCCTTAGAAAACATTACTTGCATCCCAAGAGCAAGTCTAGGTTTTACCAATAGCTAGTGTTATTGAATACCTCTTCTGTGATTTTGGCTAGATTACTCAGTACGTGGCTACAAGAATTGCCATGAGGTGAACTAGGAAGCAAATATAAATTAGGTCTGTCCTCAGTGAAAACAGACTAAGGTACCTGGTAGTTACTGTGCAGGACAAGGAACTGGCACCAGTGACCACGCTGTAACTCATGTGCTGAGAACTTACCTTGTGGGAACTCATCCTTGCTCTTCATCTTCCACTGCCCTGCTTCCGATTTGAAAAATGGGGATAACAAAATCTCTGTCATAGTCCAGCCTTCCTCACTGTTTAGCATCTAAAACTATTCAGGGCAGGGCCTGTCCTCTTATATACAGAGCCAGTTCACAATTAGTCCATTTTTATTTGAAGCCTTCCAATCCTAATACAAATCAAACTGTACTACGAAACCCTGCAATGTCCCACTTGGTGATAAATATCAGTGCGCCTGGATTTTAACCAGAAAATTCAAGACTAAGGAATTAAAGGACTAGCCTGTGACCACTCAACAAGACAGAAGCAAGAACAGGTCACAGATGTTTCTGACTTGTAGTCCTTCAGATAGCCCAATACAGCCTGCCCCTATTATATGAACACTTAAAGATGTGTCTTTTTCAGAAATTTTGCGCAGCCTCTACATTGGCTAATGAGATCTAAAGTAAAAGATTAACCATCATTCTGAAAGCACTATGTTCTGCTAGGAGACCTCAGAGGCATCAAAGGCTCTTTCAGCTAAACTCTATGCTACTCACTATGTTACTGTTCTACTCTAATGGTGCATTGAACCTCAGTTTCCAGTAGTTACTGAAACAGAGAGAGAACTAGTGACACAGTCCATGGCAAATTGAAAGAGTTATCTAGCTACCACACCTCTTCGTACCCTTACAGACAGGACTGCGACTGTTGCTGTGAAATTACATAGGAAAACAAGAGGATGTTAAAGATCGTCATACCTAATCATTTTGAGTAAGTCCGAATTTTCCCAAGTGACTAGTGAGTCTGGGTGACTCCTTAGAAGTTCCTGATTTTAAGAGAGCAGCTGTTCGGCACTTAAAATCAGAATGGATCCCTGTTCAAAACTTCTCTTGCCAAGAAGTGCTTGGCCAACGCTGGCCCTGAATGTCTCGGCTCTTGATTATGCTGCTGTGTCCTACCAAATTAGCAGTCATCTGTATTCTTTCATCCATCCTTCCAGTTGTTCTGTTCACATTACTGCTCCCACAGCTAGTTCCAAGGGTAGAAGTTCAGGCAGAAGTCCAGACTGAAATTAAAATTTGACCTGAAGTGGGAATGATTTACTTTGTTACTTCCCAACCGAATACTGAGAGCAACCACACGGCCCATCCAGACCACTGCTCTCTGTCTCCTAAGAAATACCACCTAGAATGAACACAGAGCCTCATGGCTCGAAGCCATGAGTTTTTAAAGATCTTTGGTTTACTGACT